GGGGGGGGTGCTCAAGGCTGCTGGAAGTCAGAGTTGAACTAAGGGAGGCTGGGGTGGGCAGAGGGGGTATAAGAGGCAGCAACTGACCAGAGGGTCCCTATGATTGAGGGGTGGTACTCAGGATTTCTCTAGGTGGGGAAGGGGTGGCTTGTGGCTCCCTTTGAGGAAAGAAGATGGGGGCCCATTGGTGTGTTGTTCTGGGACCCAGAATTCCTGTCAGCAAGCCTGAGAACAAAATGTGCCAAAATACATTGCTACTGTCAACAACTGTAGAAACATAGTATGAGCAGGACAAAAGTGGAAATTAAATCTGATTCTTTGAGAGACTGAAATATTCCAGAGGAAACTTGGAAAGGTTTAGGCAAAGCTTAGCTCTTCATCCAAAGAATACTCTGTATAATACAATTGCTAAACATGAAATCTGGAAGACACAGCAAATTTGAATAAGGAGCTTGTTTCTGATGAATCTCAATCCAGATACTGGAAAGGTATCTTCCACTTTTCAGTCCAACTTGGAGAAAATCTTGTGTTCCTAACTTTTAGTCATCGATGGCCAGTTGAGAGATTCTGAAGGACTAGAACTCTCATTATACAGCTTATGGTATAGGTAGAGAGATTAGTACAAGCAGTACAGAAACACACCAGTAGGATGGCCAAATGAAATCACAGGATGGATGATTCACTCATTCCAATCACTGCACCAACAGTTGTCATTACATTAACAATTAATCACTAGCACAGGGTACATCTCCATGGCAATAAAAAACCTGCAGCCTCAGAGTCTCAGAGCCCAGATCAATCGACTCAAGCTCACCGGGCTAAGGCTCTGGGGCTAAAAATCATAATGTAGACATTTGAGCTAGGGCTGAAGCCCAGGCTCTGAGACCCAACCCCTTTCCAGGATCTCATAGTCTAGGCTCCCAACCCCCTGGACTCCAGCCCAAGTTGGAACACCTATATTGTAATTTTATAGTCCTACAAGCCCCCGTCAGCTGACCAGGGCCAGCCACTGCCATGCCGTATATCTTTATTACAATGTAGATATATCCATAGAGATCTTCTAAAGTTTTAACTCAGATAAAGAACCATTCAAAAATGCGGGGAAGTACACCAAAGAAAATTACTGGAACCATTAAGGACAGTTTAGTTTCAGTGGGTTTGAAGGTATGAAGAAATAAATACAAAAAGTAAAGAATGGTATTCGCTGATCTTCCAGGCTGACCAGTGAAGCGGTAACCATAAGTCTGGATTGGTGGTAACAGTCTCAGAGCCAGTTTATACAAAAATGTCACTGGCTTTCTTTAAACCTATTAAAGTGCCACCCCCTTAGCACTGGTGATTACAATGCATATTTGATTATCATGCATATTTTATGAGCTATGAAAACTATCTACCAAAGGAACCAGAATGAATTGAAAGAGCTTTGTTAGGCTGAGATAAATGTTAACTTATGGTAATTTAAAATAAAATCTTTCTAAAAAGAAAGTATTTCAATATATTAATGTTGCGACAGATTGTAAAACTCCAAAGAATCCAAGTTCAGGATGACACTCCATCCTTAGCAAATGGCATTATGCATTTTGGAAGACAACAACAACAACAAAGGTACAACATCATTAAGTTAAGGACAGAGTGTTAATCTAATATTGAATATCCTGGCTCTTGTTATCATGCATCACAAATATGTTATTTATGTACTGTAGTTTGTAATAGAAAACTGGATTTGTTATAAGAAATTTTCAAGTATCTATCTATTAGGGTAATGACGTTGAGGGAGGTTTAGCATTGTCAGTACCTCCACAGACTGTTCAGCTCATTGGAAATTTTTCATTTTCAGTATCTGGTAAAATTTCTTAATTTGTGTTCTTAGATTTCCTGAAACTTAAAATTGTAGTGCAGCATTGTAATAATTACTTGATGAGCAAAAGAAAATATTTTACAGTCCCAAGTATGTGTTTATCAAAGGCTATTTGAAGGTAATTTTTAAAGTGTTCATGTAAAATTAAAGAGTTGGGTTAATTTTTCAAAGCCAATCTGAAGTGGACTGATTATCGCTGATTACAAATATTTAATGTTTTTAACCTCCTAAATATTATAAGCACCTCAAATAGCCCCAAGCACACAAATCTATATTTCTAAACACTGTCTGCATATACAAAAAGCAAGGAAATTCATAGTTAAGGTTACCATGTCCATCCTTAACTTACTTTGTTGTAACCAAGTATTGCAGCTCATAAGTAGTATAGGATCACCCACTGTTCTGAGGAGTCTGATAGGATCATATAATCAGCAATATCTAGGCACAATAAGATTTTTTTCAGACGGAATAAACTCTGAATCTCCTTGTTGAAGTCAGCTATTTAATGAATCTTTTCTAGAAACCACTAGAATTCAATACTATTAAAAAAAAAATCTCCGTTTTAGAAAGGTAAGCTGCAAAGCTTTTATAGGTAGTTGAGTATTTTACGACTCAAAATTGTTAACTTTTAAACAAAATATCTGAAAAGCAATTTATCCTTTACTTATTTACCAAGATCCTGTTCAGGGTGTTATATTAGTCTTTCTTGTCAGTGATAATGCAGGAAATGCTAGTTTTAGATAACTGTATTTTTAAGCTCTTTCAGGACAAAACAAAACCCTAAACTTGGGCTTTGGGCAAGTAAACGGATGTTTTTCATATAGTTGTGTTCAAATTGTGAACTTAAGATCTACAGAAACCACTTAATACCTCAAATCAATATTTTTATAGAATGTCAAAAGCTCTGCAATTCACCTTGTAAGTCATCTGTTGATATGAACTGCATGCTACAGAAACCCCCAAAATATGAAAATATGTAGTACAGAATACTAAGTTCACGATTTAATATATTTTTTAGTCTAAGGCAGGGGTGGGCAATAATTTTTGCAGGGGGTCAGGGTGTGTGTGTGCGGATGACACTTCATGAATTTTGGTTCATGGCTGCGGGCCAGCTCTGCTCCAGGAAGAGGCTGTTCCCTCTAGGCACCATGCACCCCCCCCCCCCGGGGGGGGGGGGAGCTGCCAGTCACATTGAACAGTGAATGATTTAGCACACTCTCTTGCCCCCAGGTCTTGATTGGCTAGGGACAGAGGAGTGGCAGGGTGGGCTGCGGGCCGGATCAGAGGGCTGGGCAGGCCAGATCCAGCTCGTGGGCCGTATCTTGCCCACCCCTGCTCTAAGGTGCCATAGGACTGCTCATTTTTAGTATTTAGAAAACAAATCCATAGCAATCTGCATTTCTATTCTCTACAGACTGAAGTCAGTAGATAACCTTTTGTATGACTCTACACTAAAAAGGTAGCAGCTACAATATATAATCAATTAATTACATTTCAGAGGTTTCCATTTTGTATTCTAATTAACAAAAGTGCAAAATGCTTGCAAAATTAGTTGTAAAAGTGAATTATGAGTCAATTTGCATAAGCCACTCTTTCTGCCAAAGATACCATTTTTGTGACTGTAGATTTAGAGCTTTGATTATTGTTGGGGAAAAAGGAACAAACTAGGAACTTATAAAACAAAGCCTGAAATTGGTATATTTGAAACATCATATTACCAACCTGGACAAATGAGATTAATTATAGGTAGGTCAATTAAACAATGTAGCCAGGTGACCGCATAGAATACCTATGTATAAGAATAGGCTCCAACATATTCAATTTTATTGTGTGTATATTTTCATTTTCACCAATTTCAGCAAGTAGTGAAAAGTGTAAGATTATATGCAGCATTTAAAGCAAGTTGTCAGTACGCAACAGCTGGCATTGAGGAATAGGACAATTCACAAGCCAAACTATAACCAATGTTAGGAAATAGATCATTTGTAACAATGTTTTATTTCAAGGAACATTTATTTGCTGGGCCAATTATGGTAGTTTTCATTTCAATCCTTACCTGCAGGAATTATGCCAAGTACCCACAACTTCCAGTACATGGTTAGAGCTACAGGAGAAAGTACAAGCACACTGAAGTAGCGTGCTTGCAAGCAGTGTATCACTCAGTTGGGGAAAGTTAAGCCTCGTGTAGGTAGCTTGACATTAGGAAAAAAAGATGTAAAACTGGTCAGTGAAAATAAATTTTGACTACTGTTTGGGATTAGTTGGTTGCCTTTCTAGCAAGCAACTGCAGATCACACAGAACAGATAGAACTCTGGTTTACAGAAAAAACTGTTTCTGATCTTGTAGAGGTTTACATTTTTTTCAAACTAATAAATTCTGCAAGAATCATGGAGGTTCAGGAGCCAGCCTCCATGTGAAGAATTTAATCACATAACCCTGAGGCTGTGAAAATGCAAGATGAACACCTGCAAGCCTCTGCTCTCAGAATGATAAAGAGAGTTTATTTTAAAGTTCAATGGGCAGGTCCTTGACACTTCCATTCAAAGTATTCTTATAAATGCAGCCTGAAATACGTGCCTGGAATATTTCCTATCATCAGCAACAGGCTGGTCTGCAATAGTACACCAACTAACTTCTTCATGCAATAAAATATAAAACAAATGTGACACCAAAAGAGCCATACCCATTTTTAAAAAAAAAAAAAAAAAAAAAAAAATCTAATTTGGGTTTTTTTCTGTCCTACTCTCCATTCCTCTTTTGTCGATTACAGATTTGACTGAGTTTAGGTGTTGCCTACCTTTCTCCTTTGAGATAAACTGAGGGCAGCAAAGTCATTAAACAAAGATGAAGCTGGTGAAGTCAAAGGGTCTGTAAAAGAATGTTAGAAACATTGTTACTACTGTATATCATCAGCACAAATGATTTAGAAAAGAAACTTCAAGTTTAAAATATAACCGGAAAAAGGTTTCTTATACATCCAGAATTAAAGCTAATTTTAAAGTCAGAATTGATAAAAGCATAGCGATTAGATTGCTCATGGTACACAATTAAAATGGCACTCCTTAGAAGAATTTTAAAAGTTACTCATCACCAGTTCAAACAATTATGTGCTGTACTTCAGACTACTTAATTCTACAATTCTTATGGATGCTATCAGTCTTGCCAACTTTTTATTTAGAAATTTAATCAGGACCCAGAGACAGTAAAAGATTTTACAAGTAAATTATTACAGGGAGGCCCTCTCTGATCTGGCAATATCCATGGTCTGGCAGGACCATGGATATTAATGGACCAGAGAGGGAATGAGGGTCAGGCAGGAGCACAGCTAGCACAGGAGCAAGACCAACACCAGTGTCAGGAAGATTAGCCAATGGCAGGACCAGGAGCATGGCTGAAAGGGGAGCCAGGCAGCCAGTAGGCTGACAGCATCCCCCCCAGGAGAGCCTGGATACTGACAGAAGGAGAACAGGATTGACCTCATCTGGTCTGGCAAACTCCTTTGTTTGCAACTGGTCAATTACCAAGGATGGTGGAGGTATTTCTTTCTGTCCTTACACTTTGCCTCCAGGATCATCTAAGTACCATAAGCTGGAGCTCAATCACCACAGTTACTATTTAAACAGGAAACTGCAGATGGACCATAGATTAAAAATATGGGATGACTACTATTTGCCTGATGGGTATCATCTGCTAACAATAATATTTAAACAGGTTTCCTGTATGCCTTCAAAGTGGAGTTCTACTCTGAAGTGTTCCTCAAAAAAGAAGCTTGCAGTTCTCTTCTCAAGGATTTCTTATCAAGTCTGCAGTTTACACCACCAGCCTAAAACTGAAAGTCAGTCAGCTTTCCCCATTCCCCCTTCATATATTGTCCCCAATAGTCAATAGTTTAGAAATAAAAGTCTAATCTGACCAGCAAAACTCCATTGCCTTGAACAATTAATAGCTTTCTATGGGAGTATAGAAGTATAGCTAAGGGCAAAATGTGTTTTGTAAATAATTATTACTAGAAATGAAGCACAAGGAGAGAAGAGCCACCTGACTTTCAAATCTCAGATTGCATTTACAGGACTAATAATTAAGATAGGATTTGTTTTTTTAACTTGTAAATTGACAAGTTAATAGTAACATCATTTTTGTAGCTTCTTGGGAAAGAAAGGCCAGACTTCAAATGTCTGGTTTTGCCAAATGAAAGAGGGAGTCACTTCTTAAAGCATATGCCACAGAACAAGATCAAAATTGATTAGATTCTGTTAGTGCCAAGTTCCTGTCCTCTATTACCTGGAGTTTCATATCAAATAGTCTGTTATTCTCTGGCTGTGGGGGGAGAGGAGGGATATGAAAAACATGAGGTGATAAAACAGAACAAATTTAGTTCAGTTTGTAAATAAAAACAGATAAAAATGTGTGAATATGTGCATGCACATATCTAAAATTTAAAGATAAAACATGTAATTCAACTTCACCCTATTCAAACAACTTTTTTAGTAAGCAGCATTAAAAAAGGATTATTGTTCTGGGGCTATGTAAATAGTTGCTAAAGTAAAGTATGAGAGCTTTATAGTAGATATCCAAGTAAGTATTTTACTTATTTTACTTGATACAACTAAGCAGTAAGAAAAATATAAGTTTTTCCCATTAAAATAAAAGGCAAACTGAAAGTTAGAAAGTTCACTAGTTAATTTGGTTTGGAATATACAGTAATAAAAATAATTGCACAGCACGCTCTAGTAGAAGACAAACTTCTATCACTTCTAAATCAGATTAAAGGGAGGACTAACTCTCCCACCCTCATGGGAATAGCTTTTGAACATACCTTTAAGCATATTTCTTTAAAAGTTCTTACCATGGCCTGCATACTGCTTGGCACTATCATTGAGAAGGCTAGGGGAACTGCTGCTATTTGTCATCCTCTGAAAAAAGTGAAAAACAAAACTGTATAAATAAAATAAATAATTGAGCTAAGGCTAATTAATACAAATTAGAAAATTAACATCCTAATGGCCATTGTCTCAGGGTAAGAGGATATGTGCTTATTTCCAACCTAATAAATTGCTCTACACAGATAAGATTTCTAATTGACAAAAATGTTAAGCAAATGAGAGAAAACAATTCTAATGAAAACGACATAAAAACAAACGATGCATTAAAGCCAGCATGATCTACATTAACTATTTATAGATTAGGAGGCCCTATTGAACCTAAGGATCTCCTTTTTCCTATAGTTTTTCAAAGTGTTAGATAAAGCAGTATCTTTTATTTCTTAAAAAGATTCCTTCATGATGCATTCTCAGGACAACTTCTATTTTGGGGACCAAAACAAAGGAAATATGGCAAATGGCATACTACCACCATACAAATCTCTTCATCTGTGGGGAACTGTTAAGTTAGCATAGCATTTGGTGGCATCTTTTCAATGATGGAACCCAGTGAACTACCACAAATAATGCTTTTAGGGAAACTATTTGATTCTGGTATTGTGCACAGGGAGACTGACAACTTCTGCGGACTTCTGGGCAAAGCTGGGAGTAACCTGGCTCCGTGTCCGTGGAAGGGGCAGGACCAGGAGCATCCAGACCTCTGCCGCCCCCCTCAGCCCTTTGAATCACCAGGCTCCAGGTAAACTACTCCCTTTATCTCCTCCATGTCGATGGGCCTGGCTATGCAACATGATAAAAGGCCAGCAATGGTTTTCTTCAACTCTTTCAACTATTACCAGGCTGAGCCCTGCAGTAAGGGCAGGAATCTTGCTAAGCAAGCATTTTACCCCAACTCACACAAAGGTCAGTATTTTTAGGGTGGGGCCTTAAACAAAAGGAGGACAACACATAGCAGGTTAGAGCTGCCTCCTACCTGTACTGTTATTAGCATTATACATATGCAATTTGTAGTGTGAAAAGATTCTCACCACTTTCTAACTTCAGTTCTTTTATGGAAAGTCCCTGCAAACTTTAACATTCACTTGAACAAAAACATACAAATGCTTCAATTATATTGAAGACAAACAGAAACAGGTTTTGTAAAACAAGTATAGTTATGAACACCTCAAGAACAGAGGTTGTTGGTAACTCTTAATAGCTTGTAACTGAACAAAGCATTACAGTTGTTCTATCAAAAGTTTATACCTGAACATTGACTTAATACAGCTTTGAAACTTTACTATGAAGAAGAAAAATATTCTCCTGAGTGGCCACGCAAGCTTATAGCTTACTGGGAACACTGATCTCTACTGTTGCTTGCATGTGTACTTCTGGCCCCAAATGAGGGGTGTGGTTGACTGGTCAGTTTGTAACTCTGAGATTCATAACTCTTAGATTCTACTGTCTGGCTAAGTCTAAACTTAAAATATTAAAGTGTTGCTACTATAGCAATTTAAAGTGAAAATATGGCTGTGGCACCAGCACTTTATGTAAACCATCTGGCACAAGGAGCGTAGGTCCCAGCACTGGGAGCCCATTTACACTGGAGCTTTACAGCCCTGTAATTTGCTGTGCTCAAAGGAGTAATTTTTCGCACTCCTTAGCAAGAAAATTGCAGCACAGTAAAATGGCAGTGCAGACATGTCCCCTAAGACAAGCTTTTAAAACTAACCCATACATATGATATATGGATGTGAACTTGTACCATGTATCCATGTCCATGGTTAACCAATCAGACAGAGGCAGCAACATGAGGAGAGCAGAGGGAGACGAGAGCCAGTGTGCACAGGAGATGGCTTTTAAGATAGCTTGCCGCATGTGCTGCCTCCCACAGAGCCACCTGCATGTCTCCTCCACCAACAGCACATAAGGGATAAGGGAGGGCAGACGGGAGCCAATGTTTGAGGGGAAGACAGCTTAAAAGTTGGCTCCTGGCAAGCACTGGCTCCCACCTGTCTCCGGGGCATGTAAATGTATAACCGCTTCATTTTTCAATGGTTACATGTTTACAAAAATACACATTTTAACATACCTGTTATGATGCCACTCAACAAAATAAACACTAAATTATAGAGTACTTTGGGCACATTACCAGATAGCAACTTTAGATGTGACCCTCTGAATGAGCTCAGTTGCCATGCTAGCCTCACTCAATTCCACATACTGCATTCCACTTGGATGCTATAGCATTAAACATTCTGTTGTCATGGGATCTATTATGTTTCTACTCTTTCTTGTATTCCATCTCTATGAATCTCCACACATACCCTCTGTCGAACTGTCCTGCGGTGGTTCAGGAGCATAAGTATCAACCTCCAAGCAGACAGTCAAAAACGATGGCCAAACCAAAACTGGTTGTGATTTCTATAATTAGGTTTCACTAACAAATATCAAATGTAAACTCAGGCACTAAAACAGCCTTGACACAGAGTCCCATCTAGTCCCCTCGCTGTGTCCTGCCCACAACCATTTTGCCACACAGGTAAGTCTGCTTTTGTCATAGACTGTCCCTTACATCACGAAACAATAATATTCAAGTTCTTCCCCATCCCAACAGATCAGTCACTCACCCCAAATCAACTGCACTTTTGAACTCAGAGACAGTGTTTGCAGCCAATCTTATAAACATCTAATTATTATTAATAGGAAGAGAAAGCAAGAGAATTATTTACAGGGTTAAAGCATATACACACACACACAAATGAATTACAGTCTTAAGTTTAAAAAGATAATGGAAGTTTCCAAATTAAGTGAGTTGCAGTAGTCCTTTAGGGCTAACCCAGGCTAAGCAGCTGGGGATGCCTTCTTTATGCCTAGAAACCTTGCCACAAGAGACCAAGCAATAAATGACATACAGTTCCTCTTTGTTAGGGGCTTTTAATCCCTTCCCCTCTTCTCTGAGCAGCAAAATCTTCTGATTAGAAGAATTCACGTACAAGAATTTTCTTTATTGGGGAGCGGAGTGCGAACAGTCATTTATCCTCTTTAATATTCTACTCAAGTCCATCTGGTTGCAATGAGCCTTCTTAGGTAGGCAAGATACATCGTAATGGGAGCTGTTATACAAATACTTATATTTCACTTATTGTAAGGATAAATAAGTTATTAACATGGGATTAACTATGTAGAGAAGTGACTACAATGAGTGTCTATGTATCATAGAATCATAAAATATTAGAATAAGAAGAGACCTCAAGACATCATCAAGTCTAGTCCCCTGCACTCAAGGCAGGTCCAAGTACCATCTAGATTGGGGTGGGGAAGATCAGGCCTGGGAGCTGGATCCAGCCCCTGAGGTTCAGGGTTCCAGCACCTCCACCATCCCACCACAAGGCTGAAGTACACAAAATGTACTAGACTAGCCCCCCTCCCCCCAGGCTCTGGTGTGCAAGGGGAATGTGGGGAGTGTGTCTCATTCTCAAGTCAGGGACCACATGAGCGAGGGTTTGGGGGAGGGCTATCTAGATCATCCATGACACATGTTTATCTAACCTGCTCTCAAATTTCTATTGATGGAGATTCCAAAACTTCCAAAACTTAATTTATTCCAGTGTTTAACCACCTTGACAGTTAGGAAGTTTCTCCAAATGTCCAGCCTAAACCTCCATTGCTGCAATTAACTTTTCTTCCTCCTCCTTGTACCCTTTTAGGTACTTAAAGTTGTTACATCCCTTTTCAAAATTCTCTTTTCCAAACTAAACAAACCTAATTCTTTCAGTCTTCCCTCATAGGTCAGTTTTTCAGACCTTTAATCTATGGCCATATTAAATGTTTCTAGAAGCCCGAGAAGACAACCGAAGCCACAACAGTGGCTACTGCTATAGTGGCCAAATAGCCACGTTGTTCAAGCCAATAGCCACATGTGGCTAGTGGCTAGCATGTTGACACCACAGCTCTAGTTAATACAAATTGATTTGCACTCTCCAGCCAACCTGCCTCAGAAGAGTAAAATGCTAAACCTCTGTAACTTTACGAATCAGAGCTAATGTTTTACTATTTAAGAATACCAAGAGGCTGTGCCCCCTGCTTGCTGTGCTCATCAAGCTCCGGTCTCTGCGGGAAGGCAGGCCCAGCTCTCCCCCCAACTGCTGAGGAGATCAGACCTCACCCCCCCTACCACCTCCCTGCAGCCTGCCCCAGGCCCCCACTCCCTGCAGCCAGCCCAGACCTCTCTGATCCCCTTCAGCCCACAGAGAAGGGCAAGGCAGCATAGGCCATGTTCTCTCAGCGCCCTCCAGCTGGTGGAGGTGGCCTGGGGTGGCAAAGGCTATATTCTGAGCTAATGGGGTTAGCAGGAGGGAGGAGGAAGGGAGGAGGCCAGGTGGCTGAGAAGTGGAGGGGCTGCAGGACACAGAGTGATGTGATGACGTCACTCTGTCATCCCACAGGAAAAGATTTTTATAATAGAGAGATTTTAACATGCTATCTTTAGTGATTTTGCACATTTCTTTTTTAATAATAAAATCCAAACATTTAGTAAACCAATTAATGCTACATTTCAAACACAGCATTTACTGAGCTCCAATACAAGAGTAAACAAGTGAAATGAAATGCCTTTGTGGTACACAAGAAAGAGGCCAGACTAGATGATCTAATGATCCTTAATGGCTTTAAACTCTGTCAAACTATAAAGACGAGTCACTTGTATTTACTAAAACAGTGGTTCCCAACCTTTGCGAGCACATGGACTCCTTTTCAATCTACTAAAATTGTACTGACCCCCGCAATGGGAGCAGCAGGAAGAGGCAGCCAGCATGTCCCTTGGCCCACGCTGCTTCAGCTCCTGCCCCCTCTATTCCCTGCCCAGCCATGAAAGATACGGTGAGGGGGCTCTTGTGGCTAAAGGTAGCTCCTGCCCTGGCACTCTGCCCTTGGCTGGGCACAGAACCCTGGGGGAGAAAAAAAAAAAGAAAAGGAAAAGAAAAGAAAAGTAAGGATCGGGTCCATCGCAAGACTAGAAAGGGGAGAGGGCTGGAGAGCAAATGGTAGAGCAGC